CTAAGTTGGTCAGATTCACCCCACGGACCAACCCATTTCTCCAGCTCTCTGCTGCCCTGGCTTCCAGGCCATTTATTCAAGTGTATTCCTGTTGTCTGCTCCCAAGAAGAAAGTCCTCCTTGATGTTCCTGGGGCTGACCTCTGCTCTGACACTTCTCACCCCGTGTGATTGCTGCTGGCTTACACGTCGGTCTGGTTCTCACACGGGGGCTCCCCGAGGGCAGAGCTCAAGGGGCCAGCTCCATGGAGGCATCAGCAAATGGTGGATGGAAGGATGGGTAGATGGAAGGCTGGACGGGTGTGTGGGTGCATGGGTGAGTGGGTGGTTGGATGGATGAGTAGGTGGGGGGGATGGATGGACGCATGGATGGAGAGATGGACAGGATGTGTGTTGGTGGATGGTGTGTTCCCAACAAAGGTCAGCTGACCACCCCTGCCTCTCTGCACACCTGAGTGCCCAGGGCTCCTGGCCAGGAGGGATCATAGAGGCTGGCCATAAAACAGCTGAGGAGGTGGGTGGAGCTTAGCCTGCAGAAGACAAGGAGAGAGCTGCCTTTGCGGGTTTGGAGGGCTCTTCCCTGAGAGAAGGCAAGGATACCCCCTCCCGACTCTGTGGCCCCAGGAGACCAGGGACAGGTGGTGGAAGTGGGAGGGAGGCAGATGGTGCTGGTGCACACCCCCTCTCTTGCTGTGTTCCTGGCAAATGGCAAATGAAACCTGATTTTCCTGTTAACTTACATTTTCAGTTCCAAACATTTTATAATTAACAAAATGTCTTTTTTATGCAAGCAGCACGCTCACAGCCACAAATTGAATAACACTGAGGTGCTTATGATGCCAAGCCATGCGGTGCCCATCCCCTCCCCCAACCATGCTGTCTCCAGGATCTCCTAGGGCTGGTCTTCTACTCCCTGAACTTAGCGCTGCTCACAGCTGACCCACAGCTCCACATGCTATGTCTGTCTCTAGTCTCTGACTCGCCAAATTTCAGGCACCATGGACTCCTCAATACAAAAGATGGAACTTTAACTATATTAATTACCCTTCTACCTTTCCTATTTATATTACTTTTATTCTTCTGCCACTTAAAAAAATTATTTATTTGAGAGAGAGAGAGAGAGGGAGGGAGAGCACGAGTGGGGGAGGGACAGAGTGAGAGACTCTCAGACTCCCCGCTGAGTGCAGAGCCCTATGCAGGGCTCAATCCCACCACCCCCAGATCACGACCTGAACCAAAACCAAGAGTCGGATGCTCAACTAATTGAGCCACCCAGGTGCCCCTCTTCTGCCACTTTTTTGGTGACTTCAAATAACATTCTCCTACCAAATAACCCAGCAATTCCACTGCTAGGTATACATCTAAGAGAATTGAAAACATATGCCCACTCAAACACCTCTACGTGAATGTTCGCAACAGCACTATTCACGATAGCCCACAGGTGGAAAAACCCAGATGTCCATCAGCTGAGGAATGGGTAAATAAAATGTGGCCTATTTTACAATGGAATATTATTCAGTCATATAAGGTGTGAAGGACTGATCCATGCTATACCACTGAACACATTATGCGAAGTGAAAGAAGCCTGACACACAAAAAGACACTCTTTGTATGATTCCATTTATTTATTTTAAAAAATATTTTATTTATTTGTTTGACAGAGAGAGAGAGCACAAGCAGGGGGAGTGGCAGAGGGAGAGGGAGAAGCAGACTCCGCACTGAGCAGGGATCCCGTTGTGGGGCTCTATCCCAGGACCCTGGGATCATGACCCGAGCTGAAGGGAGACGCTGAACCGACTGAGCCACCCAGGCATCCCTGTATGATTCCATTTATATGAAACATCCAGACAAGGCAAATCCATAGAGAAAGCAAGCCAAGCAGCGGTGGCTGGGGGCTGGGGGAGGGGGAGATGAGGAGTGGCTGCTCCTGGAGTGGGGCGTTTCTTTTGAGATGGTTAAATTAGGGTATGTTTTATGCTAGGTGGATTATATATCAATATAGCTGTTACATGTAAAAATATTTATACTTTCGGGGCGCCTGGGTGGCTCAGTCGTTAAGCGTCTGCCTTCGGCTCAGGGCATGATCCCAGGGTCCTGGAATTGAGCCCCGCGTCGGGCTCCCTGCTCTGCGGGGAGCCTGCCTCTCCCTCTCCCACTCCCCCTGCTTGTGTTCCCTCTCTTGCTGTGTCTCTCTCTGTCAAATAAATAAATAAAATCTTTTAAAAAAAATTTATACTTTCACAGTGACCTTCTCCTTGGGAAGGCAAGGTTACTGGTGGCCTGCCTTCCACTCTACTGTCCCTCCTCAATCAGCCCCAGACACTGAAGCGAAGCACTCAGCAGCTTCAACCTGCAGACACACACCAACAAATGGCAGGAGGCAGAGGGTGCTGGAGGATCTTGGAGGGACAGGGTCCTGTGATCGTAATTGTGATGACAAAACGGTTGGTGGGTACCGAACACTTACCGCACACCAAGGCGACGGCGCTCGGTGTTTTTACATGTGCTGTGTCATTAAGGCTCAGGATGTCCCGAGGTCGGGTTCATGTCCCCATTTCACAGATCAGGGAACAGCCCCTTAGAGATATCACATGCCAGCTATAAAGTGGCAGAGGTGGGATTGGAGCCCAAGCCTCTCTGAGTGTAAATCCCAAACTCTTGACCACCTGAGAATGGCCCGCACTTGCTTTCTGTTCCCAAATATGGGATTTTGCATGCTGGTGCCTACTATACCCGTTTTTTCTGCGTGGTCTGTGTCCTTTGTGCAAGGCAAGACCCCTCCCGAGAACGTCCCTCGGTGCGGAGGAGGGTAATAGAGGCAGGGCCCGCCCCACCCCTCTGTCCCACCTGCGCGGTGCCAGCCCGCTCAGACCTTCCTGGGCCTTCATCCTGACCTCAGGTGGGCACCAGCTGGCCTGTGACCGTGACCGCTGTGGGACAGACAATGGGCTGGCTGTTTGCTTCCTGGATGCTGGGATTAGACAATGTTTAGCTTTCCCTTGGTGGCAAAGTCTTTCCCCTCCCTGCTGGGCAGGAACCAGTTCCTGTGGGGCGGGGCTGGCAGCTGGGCCCTCGGCCAGGAGCCTCCCTGCCCCTCTGCCCCCCAGCGGCGCCCATTCCAGAGGTTTAATCATTAACGGGCACGTCTGGCCTTCGGTTGCAGGTTGGAATTTGGGAGCTGTGCCCAGGAGCAATTATCTCTGACACATTATTTTGTGTAAAATCACTTTAGCTGCCATTAGCTGATAAAGCTGGAATGAAGGGGGGGTCCGTGAACCAGTACTGACCGCTTGGCTCGCAGGGCTCCCTGGGAGGTAACTGAGGCACCTGCCTTCTGAGGGCTATGAAGTAGCTGGTAGAAAACTTGCTGTGAAATGTGGCCTGGCAGTGTGTGGTGTGTCCTCAGACCCCTCCCCGCATTGGCCCCACGCGTGGTTTGGGGATTGGCAGAGGGCCCAGAGGTGGGCCAGCGCTGGGCAGATCCAGAAGGAGCTAGGGCCTCTGAGTGAGGGGCCGGTGGGGTAGCTGGCTCCCCCGTCGTCCTAGCTGAGGCAGGGAGACCGGGCAGCAGCACCCGCCTCCCATCCTGCTAGGGGGAGTCTCCCCTGCAGGGAGCAGGCTGCTGCAGGAGCCAGCTCCTCATCCCATGTGTATTCCAACTCAGGGTGCCCGGGCAGCGCTGTCCTCGGCCTGAGTGGCCTGCTGGAAGTCGCCAACAGGTGCTCGAAGCCTCCTCTGGCCCCCCTTCCCGCGACCCCTGAGACAGCTGGCCTACTCTCGCGCCGACTCCGTTCTCCCGCCGGCTCCTGAGGACAGCCCGGCAGGCATGGGGGCCTCTGGACCGGAGCCGGCTGCCCTCGCTGGCTTTGTGCTGCTCTGGCATTTTGGGGGGGCTGGCTGGAAGGGGCGGCTGATTTAGAGAGGCCCGCTTGGGAAGCAAGCAGGGTGCTCGCTCTCCCTGTCTCCTTCACAGGATACTCTGCTCCCCCGGGGCTTTATTCTCAGGGCTCCCACCCTGTCCGTTCGCTCTTAGCTCACCGCTCCCCCACACCCCGGCCTTGTCAGCTGGGGGAGCTTTGGAGTCCGGTGAGTCGACAGCTCTCATACCGGGAGGGGCTGAAGGGGCCGGGTACACATGGGGTCAGGTACACATGGGGTCAGGGCCAGAGCTGACGTAGGAAAGAACGTTAGGGTTTGAAGCTGACGGCTAAGAAAGAATTCTTGAGACGTCTTTGTTGCAAAAAGGTGGTTTTAGTAAAGCCCGGGGACAGGACCCGTGGGCAGAAAGAGAGGCACCGGGGTCCTGAGGAGCGGCCCGTTATATACTTTCAAGTTGGGAGGGGGTTCGCGAGAGTGTAAGCCTCCCAGGTATTTTGGAAACAAGGTTTCCAGGATCCTGAGGGGGCTAGCTAGTGTTGGGAAAGGTCATTTATTACCGTTTAGTAAAAACTCGGTCGTGAGACCCTTCAGATGTATATCGGTGGGTCATATGCTTGGGGGATGATTGCCGACATGTATCTTGTCGGTGGAGGGGGGCGGTGTAGAGATAAAGGAAGTTTCTAAAGGAATTTTTATCTGTTAAAGTAGACGTACAGGGTCCTGGGGGTCAGGCTAAGGTCGCCTTTTGCCCTTCAGCGAAGGATCAGCATTGAGACGGCTGAGCTCCTAGAGGGACGTCCCACTGCCCGTTTCCAGGACTTGCCAGTGGCTGGAGGTGGAAAGGAAATGTCATAATTGTTCTTCTGCCTCTGTTTCCCACATCAGAGTCCCTGCCTGTTCCCCAACCAGCCCTGGGCCTCCCTGTGGGGCTCTGGGCTTTATCTCCTCTCTGATCTGCGAGGCTTTGGGGCCTCCCTGGCCGCCCGCCTCGGCCGCAGCTCCCAGACACTCCCAGAGGCTCTGGCTGGCCGTGAGTGGGCCTGGCTGCAGCACCGGAAGGGCTGGCCGGAGTCACAGGATGGGCACACCCCTGGTCGGGGCTTGCCTACCGCCCCCCTGGGAGCCTTCCTGGAATCCAGGAAACGAAGGAAGACTTGGGCAGGAGCCCCCAGGGGCCTGACAGCCCCCCCCCCCCCCGTCTTGCTGCAGGACTCCTGGCCCCGGTCCGGGCCCTGCCCCAGTGCAGGGGTGCTCACGGGGAAGGCCAGCGGGGCTTCCTGCCCTTCACACCCTGGCTGCCTCCATGCTCCCTGCAGCACAGCAGTGGCCTCCCTGCTTTGGGCTGGCCCCATCCACTCTCGGCCCGGCTGCCTGGATTAGAGCCGTTTACTAGTCTCTGATGCTTGGGGGATCAGATCTTCAAAAACTTGACCCACAGAGAGGTGGTTGCACAGATCGGTGGAGAAAGGACGCCCGTCTGGAAACAGGGTTTGCAGAAAGCAGGTTGGTTCTTCAGTAGTTTTATTTCACGGTTACATTTCAGGGAGACAAAATCACTAAGCGTAAGCAACACTACCCCTGGAACCTTTGAAAGAAATCACAGCTGCGGGGGGCCCCCTCCCCCATGAGGAGGGGCGTTCTTGCCCTGGGGTGAGCATGGCCACCTGTCCTCCTGCCAGGCTCCACGCAGGGCCCGGAAGGTGCATCTCCCCAAACAAACAGGCTGTGTTACCTCCAGGGCCACAGCGGAGAGGGAGAAGATACTTTCCAGATGTTTGGGGAGTTGCTTCCCATTCTGAGCCCTGCCCAGGCAGAGCTCGGGCTGAACCCTTTGCGTATCCTCCAAATGGCAACTTCCCCGGGGCAGGAGGGACCAGCCAAGAAGCCGCAGGCCTGGGTGGGGTCCCTGGAGCCCTGCTCCCACTCACGTGCGGGCCTGTGAGGGCTGGCGCTGGGGGTCCCCGCGCTGGCTGGGGGGACGGACCTGGCAGCTGCCCACTTCTGCTCAGTGCCAAGTGGGATGGGCTGGGCGGGGAGGCAGCCTGTGAGCAGGAGGCCTGGCAGAGGGGCTCGGTCAGCCCTTCCGGGCATACCTGACAGTCAGGACCCGGCCGGGATGAGCCAGACCCGCCCCAGGCTCAGAGCCCTGGCCTCCAGAGACCAGCCCGGAAGCTGCTATTCACGGGCTGCGGGGTTAAGGATGAGATGTTTGTCGGGGTGACCCGTGATTCAGCTCCTCGAGCCTCTGTCTCCTCATTGGAGAGATAGGGATGAGAATCCCGCACTGTGGCGGGGCAGTTGTGAGGACGAGGCCACGCAATCTGGGCGCCCTGCGTGTGGTCAGAACTCAGGATGATGCCTGGATGTGTGCCCGGGTGGAGAGCACAGGATGTCTGGAAACCTCGAGGCCTGAGAGAAGCTTCATGCTCACAGGCTGGGGTGTGAGGTCAAATGCAGAGGGCAGCAGAGGGCTGGTCCCACGGGAGGGCCTGAGAGCTGGGCCCTAGGGCCAGAGAGGTGGCTCCCTGTCCTCGGCTGCCTGTCGGGCTCCCTGGACGGCACAGGCCTGCTGGCTCCGGGGCTCGGTCGCCTCTTCATTCAAGATTCCCAGGCTGCCCGGAATACCTCGCCCGATGTCCGATACTGCGGTTCAGAAAATGTCAGTCCGAGAATGTGTCCTGGTCTCTTGAGATTCTCCTGACCCTTCCTTGGTCCCCGCTCCCCCAGCAATGCTGTGAGCCTGCTTCCCTGCAGCTGAGATTCTTGCAGGAGAGGAAAGCGAGGCTCAGAGCAGAAAGAACTCACTTGGAGTTCCACAGTGGGCTCAAGGCTTTAAACCCGAGGCTGATCCTAAGTCCGTTTTATTGCCAGGACCTGGAGGGAGACTGAGAAGACCGTCCACGGCCCGAAGACCCAAAGCTGGTGGGTGAGGACTCCACCCCTGCCTGTGGCACTGGGGAGCCTGCTGTCAGCCCCCACCTGCGGATGTCCGTCCCTGATGGTGCGAGGGTCCAGCCCTGACTCGGGAGAGCCCAACACAGCCCTGCAGGGGGCCACGGCCATCAGGACAGACCCCTACCTCGGGGGCCCCCAGCCACTCCCCATTCTCCCTCTACATAGGGGTCCCGTGGCCAAGCCTGGGCCCAGTCGTCCTGCCCACGGTATTGACCCCAGTGTGGGCCCCCGACACAGGCTGACCGGTCAGAATCTCCCTCCTGGAAATCGGACTCTGAACTGGCCACGCCCAGAGACAGATAGCCCTTTCCTTCTCTATGCAAGAATATTAAAAATTACGTTTCATGACTGCATTGGCATAACGATGAATAGATTCATATTCCACTTCTAGACATTTTCTTCAACCTAAAAGTTCATTTCCCTCCTTCTGATTGTAGAAGAAATAAGAACATTTCTGGGGGCCTGAAGGCACCCTGAGCCGTGGCCCTGAGCCTGCTGTGTCTCGTGGAGACAGTACCTACAAAAGGAGGCGCCCATCTCAACACTGTGGGCAAGCTGGCCAGGGAGACGCCGTCCTCCTCCCAGCCCGTCTCCTTTCGCATTAGTTGCCCAGACCCGGTTTGTGAGTGCTGGCGGCAGAAAGAACTGAGGATGGCCTTCTCACCACGGCTGTGACCCCGAGCCCCCATTTCACAGGTGAGGACACTGAGGCCCAGGGCCCTGCTGGGGATCCAGAGCCAGGCTCTGAGAATCCATGTGCAGGTTGTTCACTTGAAAGAACGGGAAGAAGCTCCGTCCTCGGTTTCTCCTGCTACCCTTCCCTTCCTCCCTGTGCTTCCCGGGTTGCTCTTAGACCGGGTCCCGGCACAATGGGGTGGGAAAACGAGTCAGGGGCCGAGGGGGGGCAGGCGGGCAGTGGCTACTCCAGACCCCTCAGGTGCCACCCCCTCACGCCTCCCCGCATCCCTCGACACCCTGCGTGTTCCTGGCAAAGGGAGGCATCCCAGGGCCACACTGTAAGAGGACAGTCCCCTTTGGGGATGTGTGTGAAGCCAACAACTTCACAGCTCTGTCCGGAGAGCAGCGTCAGGCCCTTGCTCACTCAGGGTGGAGGTGCTGTCGGGCCATTTCCGGCCCCCAGGCCCCGCGGGGCTCCACCAGCCTTTCCCTAGAGCAGGAAAAGACGTGGGAAGTGTGGAAGCGAAACTAGAAGCTCTGGCCAAGTCGGGGCAGGCCTGGAGCCGGCGGCCCTCACATCTCCAGCCTTCTGAAGGCTGGGCTTGGGCATGCCCAGCACCAGGCTGGGTCCCCGCTGGACTCCCTCCCCTCACGCTTCCCAGGTACCTCCTGGGCCCCCAGCCCCCAGATGGACACGGGACCGTCCAAGCCTTGTGTGGGGGACACTGCGACTCATGTGGGTGGCCGGCCAGGGCCTGCAGGGTGGACCGAGGCTGTGCCGTCCGTCCCGTGGCCGGCCCTGAGGGAGCACAGGGGTGCTGGCCTTGGAACCCCACGGAGCTGGAGGGAAGAAGCCAGCTGCCCTGCAGCCTTCCCGACCAGGAGGGCCTGAGCATACGCTGTTGTGCCCCCGAGTCTACCTGTGGCAACAGCTTCCCTCGGGGCTGTTGTGGCGCTGGGATGAGTCACACACACGGTACCCAGTGGGCATGTGAGTCTCCCTGCCCCACCTGCTCCGGATGTGGGGCCCCCCTCACCTCTGCCCACCCACTGCCCAGACGGCCGGACCCCCTCCCGAGCTGCCTCTGCCGTCTACCATTTCCTAGACAGGTTACATCGAAGGGCCGGGCGGAGGTGGGTGGTTGTGAATCCCCCAAGCACCAGCACCTGCTGTGCCCGCCCCCAGCCCATCCTCACCACCCCTCCGCTCCTCCTACGGTGGTCGAGCTGGGACCTGGGCTCCTCCCTCAACCCTGGGCTTGGGGCTGAAGCTTGGTGCTGGGACAGCACAGGGCAACCCCAGGGCTCTGTCTGGAGCCGCGGGAAGGCACTGGGTGTGGTCTGGAGAACCCAGAGACCTGCCTTTCATTCCACCCGTCCCCTCCAGGGCCATCACATCTCTGGGAGCTTCTGTTTCCCCACCAGCCACGTGGAAATCCCAGCTCTTGCCCCCGCCCTCCCCCGCCACTGCCGAGAGTGGAGAGAGGCGCCGTGTAAACTGTAAAGTGCTGTGCAGCAGGAAGCAGGGCTCCTCTCTGAGGCAGCCCCAGAGCACCTGCCGCTTCTCCAGGCTGGCGCCCGCCACCTCCCCCTCCTGCACGCAGCTGCCCTCCCCGCGGACTTGCTCATCCTCCGGCCACGTGAGCTGATGGGGAAGGTGAGGCAGGCGTGATGATGACCCGAGTGCAGGTGAGTCACATGCCGCAGGACGAGGAAGTGGGGGGCAGGAGTGTGCATCACGGCTGCAGCGAGGGCCCCCTCCCTTTGTGCACCCCAGCTCTGGGCCCACAGCCTGCCAGGGGCCCTGCTGGGGGTGCCGGGCCGAGAGGACAGCTAGGCGACCGGGGCCACGGGCAGGGCACTGGGGGGCCCCGCGGGGCAGGAGGTGGGCGCTTCCCCGGAGCCATCATCACAAAAGCCTCAAGTGGAAGGAAGCCTTTAGCACCTGCTCCAGGGAGGTGACATGTGAGCTTGAGGGGAATGAGACATTAGCCGTGTGACCTTTCAGGGCTGTCACAGTGTTTGCAACTCTGGTGGCATTTTAAAAGTTACCCAAAGCCTCATACAATGGAAGTGGCTCTGGGCCCTTTGGGAAAGCTGCTCTGAAGTCTGAGTCCCTCGGCCAGGACAGAAAGCAGGGCTCTGAGGGCAGAGCGGGGCAGGGGAACAGGGCCCCAGGAGGAGCGGGGCAGAGGAGCGGTTGGATCGGGGCCGGGAGTGGGCAGAGCAGCCCTGGAGGAGGGGCTGGGGCAGCAGTTGCAGGGGTTGGGGGACAGGGGTCGGGGTTAGGGTGAGCACCTCTAATGTTGTGGGTGCCTCACTCGCCTCAGCCCTGTCCCTGCCCGGCAAGCTTCTCTCTCTACACGAGGGAAACCGGCCTTCTGTCTGGGGCAGGGGCGGGAGAGGGGCGCACGCTGGGGAGGGCCACCCGAGGGCCGCCCCCCCAGGCCAGGTCTGTCCTTCCTTCCTGCAGGACGCAGCCTCTGCACAGCGCCAGCCTCGTGGGGAGTGTCCCCCCCCAGGAGGCCCAGACATGAGCGGCAGGCGGGCAGGGCGTAGGAGCTGAGGAGTCCCCGGCTGTGCCCGTGAAATCAGTGCCCCGCGTGGGGTGGCCAGGGTGCCTCGGGGGCCGGAGGTCGGGACAGCCACCCCGACAGGCTCTCACGGTGCCAGCCCCCGGCGGCCTGGGGGATTATGACTTATTGTTTTTAAAGTGCCCTGTTGTTATTTTCTGATTACCAAAGCGATACACGCTCATGATAAAGACCTTTAAGCACCGAGTGGGTGGTTATGAGCTGGCTTCAGGGATGGGGAGGTGACGCACTGCATCGAGATTCATCAGTATCAGCAGCAGGAGGACAAAAAGGATTTAGTCAGCTTCCCCCGGGGACACAGGAGGGTAGGGAGGCTGGCAGACAGACGGGGTCTGCACCCTGGCCCCTCCCAACCTAAAGTTGACCCCAAATGCTGGTGTTTTCTGCACAACATTGGTGGGGGCAGGAGTGGCGACAGGAGCGGGCGTGGTCCCCAGCGCTGCTTCAGCTCTTGCTTTTCTGGGTGGGGGAGACAAGGGCTGGGCTGTCCTGGTCCCCTGGGGCGCCCTGGGTTAGGGGAGGCTGCTCAGAGCTGGTGGGTGCATTCTGGGCTGGCGTGCGTGAAGCAGGGGTCCCGCGGGGGGTGTACCCTGTGTTTCTGGGGCCCTACTTTTCAGGCTGAGCCCCTCCCTACAGCCCACGGGTCACTATGTTCATTCTCATGCAGTCTCACCATGGGCTGCTGATGTGGACATTGCAACCCCATTTTACAGGCGAGGAACGGAGGCCTGGGAGCGAAATCCACACATTACTCCATAGTTGAGTTTGATCTGAACCTGGTGTTGTCTGGCAGCAGAAGCCCCTGTTCTCTCCAGTTCATCGTGCTGCCTTGCAGGAAAGCGGGTCAGGCAGGCCGGGGTCAGTGGCTCGGAGGTCGGAGGAGGCCGGCCAGGTCTGCCGTCAGACCTGCAGCTGAGACCCACTCTTCCCATACTGCTTTGGGGTGGATGGCACAGCTTGGTGCTAAGAGCAGGGATTCTGCCTTCAGACTGCTCAGGTCTGAATTTCAGTTCTGCTGAGTACTAGCTGTGTGCCCTTGGCCTCTCTGAGCCTTAGTTCCTCATCTGGAAGAACGGATGATGAGCACCCTACTCCTGAGCTGCTGTGAGGATTGACTGAGGTGGTCTGTGGGTCTGTGGAGGCTGGCGGTGATCATGGAGGCAGGGTGGAACAGGGTTAAGAATGTCCACCTCAGAGCGAGACCCATCTTAACTCGAAGAGGTCACCCCTTCCTGGCTGGGGTACTGAGGAAGTACCGGGCTGGGTGCTTGGCCCAGAGCCTGGCACATGGCTGCGCCCCACAGGGTGGTGATGGCGTCCCCACTGTCTTTCTTTTCTATTCCCATACTCACGAGGCTGCTAGCAAGCCATGCCTCCCCCCAGGCCGGTCAGAAGGACTCTCAGGTGCCCTAATGTCCACCGGGACTCCAGGAAGCACCTAGAACCATTGCTGGGTTCTTGGGACCTGAGTCAAGTTCCTGCACATTCTTTTTCTGGTCAGACCTCAGCCAGGACTCATTTTGGGTCTAAGGTCCTGGCCTGGGTGTTGGAGCCCCACTGTCTGCCTGGGGGACTTCCCTGGCCCTGGGATCCCCCTGCCTGCTGCCTGCATCCCTCCTGCCTGCAGGGGCAGCCTCCTCCTCTGCCCTCTCAGGGGTCATTCCAAGCCCTTTCCCACCTCCCAGCACCTTGCCCGCACTCAGCTCTCCAGGCCCTGACCTTACGACATGATGCTGCTGCCCCTCTTTGGGGAGCAGGGGCTCCCAGAACCCAGGGATCACCAGACAGTGGGTGTGACCTCCGGGCACCTAACTTGTTTTTCCTGGTGCCCTCTTGCGGACTGCATTCCATCAGGTCTGACACACATTTCTTCCAGGCCTTGGTGTGACCCTTTGGGCGAAGGTGACCAGATTGAGGGAAACTCCCCCCAAGCCCCTGCAGTGAGCTGGATGCTGTGCCCCGGGTCTGGCCCACAGAAGGTCTCTGGTGTTCCAAAGGGCCCAGGGATGGACACACTTGGCAGGCTTAGAGATGCCTGGGTTCTGCGCCAGGGAGGAGAGCTTGGGAAAAGTGTGTCAGAAGGGGTCTGGGTGCTGAGAAGAGAGGAGCCCAAGTGCAGAACTCTGGTGGGCGCTGCAGTCAGCACTGGGTGCCTCAAGGGGGCCCTTAGAGTCTCCGGTTGGGACACTTTACAGGGGTGTTGCAGGTGCTTGAACAACTTACCTCCAAGTTACCTGTTTTCTGTTGCTTCGTTGGTGCTGGTGAAACCAAATTTGCTGGCTTCCTTGGGTTTTGCTGTGTGTTTTACTGTTTGGCTAATTAATCTTGGTCTGACACATTTTCTCTGTTGAAGAAAACATTCATGGGTGTTCGGCATGAAAAATACCATTGCTGGATTTTCGGGCCCCTCCAAACATTTAGGAGATGCTTGTCAAAGCTGGGCTGGGTGTGAAGTCCCTCTCCGGGCCAGGCCCAGCTCGGAACCACCTCTGACCCAGAGTCTAGCTGGAGGCTGGCAGGGGGCAGGTGACATGTGTTTGTTGAGTGAATAGACGACCTGGATGGGGGCCGGGGGTCCTGAGAAGGCGAGAGGAGCCGGGCGGGAGGATGCGGCCACATCAGTCCCACACCTTTGCAAAAAGGGTGCATCTTAGTGTATAAGTGTGTCTTATTTATTTGAAATCAGACAGTAGTTCTTGAAGAGTCTCATAAAAATTAAAATTAATGAAATCCAAGTCCCCTTTGATCCTGTCCCTGGTGCGCTCACTGTTTGGTTTTGGCGCACATTTCATCAGACTTTCCTTGTGTGACTTGCATACAAGCATGTGTCTATACAAACGCATCGTCTGAGTTTTGTGCCTCTGTGTGCCTGCCTTTAAATCAAATGGTGTCATTCCGTACGTATCACCCCGTAAACTGCCTTTTCCCTCGAGCAAACTACATCTTGGAGATCTGCCCTGCGACCTGCTACCGCCTCGCAGGACCTGGAGCTGCAGTGGCTGGCCACAACGGGGATCCTCGCATCCCTTTTACGGGTGAGGAAGTCAAGGCTCAGAGAGCTTGCCTGACTCGCCCGGGTTGGGGTCTGGTGGGGGCTGAGAGGGGCAAGCATGACCGGTGAGTGTGAGGCATAAGGAAAGGAGGGGCAAGTGGCCGGTGGCGGGGGGGGGGTTGGGGGGCAGGCCAGAGGGAGGAAATCGGGGCCTCTGGGAACTCGGTGACTCTGGCTGTAGTTGAGGCACGATGCTGACGGGTTACCCCGGCGCTGCCAGCCACACGCTCTCCCGCATCCAGACTCCTGATTCTCCGGAGCCTCCATGGCCAGGGTGCTCAGGACTCTGCTCTCTTCCGTGCCAGGTGTCCCAAGTGCAGAGTGGGGTCCGGCTGCCCGCACCCCCACGGGAGAGTCTCCGTTCCCACCTGGACCCCAGCTCTGGGTGGCCTCTACCCGGCACCCATCCCCAAAGACTTGTGTCAGGAAGGCCCAGGCCCCGTGGGTGGGCTGAGGGTGTGACTGGCAGTTTCCCAGGCAGGCCCAGCCAGCCAAGGTGCTAATTAGGGCAGACTTCCCGAGGAGAAGGAGGAGGAGGAAAAACATGAGGAAGTGGCCTCTAGGCTCTTAGGCACTCTTTCCTCCTGATTCACCGCTGGCCTGCCCATGGGCTGACTCGAAGTCACCCAACCTCCCCGAGCTTAGGGGCACCTGCCAGGTCACGGGCCTGCCTCGGCTGACCCGCCTCTCAGGCATTTGGTTGAAAGAGGCCAGGGCGATCCCGAGGGGTGGGTGGGTGGGGGAGACACTCAGGGAGCAGACTGGGCGTGCCTGCCAGCACCTGCACAGTGCCCTTGGCCCGGTTTCTGCAGGGCTGTGCCCCGCCTGCCCACGCCAGGCAGCTGAAGGGTCCCACTGCCAGCAGGGCTGCCCGAGACACGGGGGAAGGTGTCCTAGCCTCCGGTCTGCAGGTGCTGTGCCCCCCAGGCCCTCCTGCTCTGCTGGCTGTGGGGCCCTGAGAGCTACCTCTGGTCCTCCAGGTGCCTGTCCCAACCCGCCTCCTGCGGCGGCCCCCTGGATCAGACTGAACCCTGGGCCCCGAAGGTCGGGGTGGTGGAGGCTGCAGGCCGCTGCACGAGCCACATGAGCACCCCCAGCTTTCTGAGCCTCAAACCCCTCAAGTCCCTGCTAGCTGTGACCTATAGTCTGGGCTCATGTTCACGGTTCTCAGCCTGGCTGTGGACTAGTGTCTCTCGTGGAGCATTCAGGAAACTTTGATTTTGTTAAATGTCATGAATGTTTCACATGTCAAACTTTTCACAGTAGACAGGGTTTCTAATGAGCCTCCGGGTCCCCAGATCAACGATCAGCTGGTCCCCAGCCTGTTTCATTTATGCTCTCTGCAGATCCTTCTCCCTGTATTATATGGAATCAATCCAAGGAGTGCCTTTTTTTTTTTTTCCTAAAGTACAAGAGCCAGACTCACCCCCAGGAATTTAACCAAGTCATCTAGGCTGGGGCCCAGAAAACATGTATTTTAGCGAAGATGCCTGGAGCTGCGGTGGTGCGGCTGGGCTGGGCAGGGTTAGCGCTCAGAGCTGGTAGACCTGTGGCATCGCCCCCAGGAGGATCTGGAAGACTTGGTGACACCCCGCAGACGGTGGGAGAGACAGGGGGCTGCCATGGCCCACTCTGAGCCACCTTCACCTGGAGGGGAGGGAAACCATGGGTGGAGATCAATCCCACCCCACCCGGACCTGGGGAGGCCTGGGGGGCCTAGTTCCCACAGGGTCTCCTGGAGGGGGTGCTCCAGTAGCTTAGCTCAGACCGTGCAGTGCAAACCCACCCAAGAAAGTGGCTAACTGGTCAACCACAAGCCTGCACATTCCCAGGGGACCGCACCAGCCAGTTCCTCCCAAAGGAGAGCCGGGCACTGGCTGAGCCGGCCGACAAAGGATGCTTCGTTCACCTGCTAAAATAAACACTTCCCCTGGATATTTACTCCCGGGACTCGGATGTAATTTGAGGTGTAAGTTACTCTTTAACAGGCCACTTGATCCAGGCCTCCAAGCTCTCCTGAACTAATTTCCTGAAAGAAAGGCGTTCCCACCACCAGCCCAGGTGTTTATTAACCACCCCCTTGGCGGTCAAGGAGAAGCTGGGCATGGCTGTCTCCTGCGCCCCAAGCTCCCCCTGAGAACCCAGCGTCCCAGGGGCGGCCCTCAGCCTTCCCTGAGGAAGCAGCAGAGAGGCTGAGCAGCGGGTCCTTGACCTCCTGGGCCGGGAGTTGAGAGGCCGGTCCGTTCAGCTGCACTTTGAGAGAACAGGAGTGGAGTCGGGGTCCTGGGACGAAAGGGGCACCCAGACAGCCAGCTGGCCCCTGGCAGCAAGGCCCAGTGCACACCCACAGCAGCTGCCCCCACACCTGAACTTTCAGGTCGATGTCGCTGGGTTGGCACACCGTGACGTGCTGACCTCTAAAGTGTGAATACAACTTCACAAACTTGGGGGCTTTTCAAATCAAAATTTAAAAATGCACACAGGGTTTCAGTGATGGAGTGAGGGATGAGGGTCAGAAGCATCGTGAAGGAAAGCTGGCCCCATAGTCCCTGCTAGCTGTGACCTATAGTCTGGTGCAAAAAGACGAGCTGGGCCCATCGGCTGTCCCTCTCAGGTGTTTGGACCACAAAGGGAGGAGAGGAGTTGCCCACGGGGCCCCCCACGGCATCCTGCCATTGTCGTCGGGGCTGAGACCAGGAGGAGGGAGAGGACTGGGGCAGGGACAGGCCCGGGGCCTGGAGGGATGCAGAAAGCCTTGATCTCTGAGATACCGCTCTGGGTTCCAGGAGGCCCAGGGCCCCCACTGTCTTCTTTGGGCTCCTTGGGGATCCTCTGCCTGTTTGGGCCAACACAAATGGGCAAACCGAGTGAGAATATCCCAGGATGGATGTCTGTGGATACTGGAGTCCTCTCTCCTTCTGCCTGCCTCGGTTTACAGGCAGAGCCGGGAAGTGAGGAGGGGCAGAGAGGGTCAGGGGCTGTCTTTTGCACAAGGTGAGGGTAGGTCTGTGCCGTGAGTCTAGGACTGGTCAAGTGTCCACCTCCCAGTAAACATAGGTCAGCTCACATTGGCTCACATGCTGGGCTGCCAGGACCTGGCTGTTGGTTCGGGGGGCAGGTGGGGGGGGTGGAAAGAAACCTGGTTCCAAAAGAAAGTGGTCCCTCTGTGGGAGGGGCCTGGTGAATGCAGGCGCAGCTCAGGCGGGAGGGGCACGGGGTGTTCTGCTCAGTCGCAATAGCAGTACCACCTGTTAGCATACATATTTGACCACGAACTGGGGGTGGAGGAGAGTCCTCTCCTGGAGAGGGGGCAGAGCACAAGGCAGGAAGGCAGGACCTCGGACGTTCTGGTCGGGGCTAGAAGTCAGGGGACAAGCCCAACCTGCTGGCTGGACACATGAGGGGCCGGAAGGGAGATGGCCCTGGGCCCACAGCCTCCTCCCTCCAGGTATACCGGAAATGGAGCTTTAGGCAACCAGATCAGCTGACCCTCCCAGGCACTGGTGGGATGCGGCTCCTTGAATGCTCCCCACCATGATCAGGGGCTGGGCGGGCAGGCGGGCAGGGGCAGGGAAGGGAGGCAGGCATTCCGGTATCTAGCCCTGCTCTGTGGCCTGGCTTCCTCTGGCATCTAGACGCTGGGCCCTAGGATCTGAAGGATCGTGCGTGTATTAGGGACGTTAGTCCGTGTCTGACTCCCTGATGGGGCAGAAGTACAACTCGCTAACCTCTTTGCAGAAGCCTCTGCTCCAGGCTTCCTTTAAAGGCAGGATCTTCTGGGTCGGTGGGTCTTGAATGCGAATGTGATCAGGATCTCCTGGAGGGCTCCTTAAAGCCTAGGTCATGGGCCCCCCCAGAGTATCTGAGGCAGCAAGTCTGGGGCGGTCCCGAGAGTTTGCATTTCTGACCAGTTCCCAGATGCTGCTGAGGCCCCAGGACCCCACTTTGAGAACCGCCGCTCCGGCTGAAGACATCGCAGGACTTAATTCACAAACATGCACCTGCAGAAGGGAACTGTGGCCTTATCAGGCCAAGTGAGCCACCTCTTTCCCCAGAGGCCGGCCTCCCAGTGCTTGGGCTCCAGGGAAGGGATCCGTGGAGTGAGGGCAGCGCCCTGGTTTTCTTCCTGAAGGTGGCAGTGCCCGCGGCTCAGGGAGAGCCGTCCTGTGGGAAGGGGCCTGGGGGGATGGGGGATCCAGGGACGGGGGCTCTCCCGCCTTGGTCGATGACATTGCAGAGGTTGTGTGACCGGTGGTGGCTTGGGACACAGGCTGGATTTTAGAGATACTCAGTCTCCCTAGGTGGGTGCACGCGAGGCCGCTGGTGCAAGTTTTACTGGAAAAGCCACTGGGTTTCCAGGCCAGACAGGAGATGCAGACACAAGGCTCCTCTCTGCCCCTTTTCAAAAGAGAGAAAGCCTGCACTTCAACCGTGGTGTGGGCACTGAGTCCTGCCATTGTCCGCAGCAGCGCGAACCTGAGCCTGCGGGACAGGCAGCTCCTCTGGGCGCCTCACTGTCCCCACAGTCGTCCCTTTGTGGGTCAGGGAAGGCAGCGGGCCTCCCGCCAGCCTCCTGGATGCTCCCAGGTCTCAGATTTGGGATATCGAGTCAGCTGAGGAGGGTGATGCCAGGGCAGGGGAGAGCAAGTGGCGGGGTGGCCGCCCTGCCCGCAGTTCTGTGCGCTGGACCTCAATGCAGCTCCTGCATTCCCTGCTCGCTCGTTTGTAAGGGGTCTGCAGTCTTAAGCTAGGTTGTCAGGAGCTGCCAGGGGGGCTTACTGGGGAGGGGTCCGGGGAGAGACTGGGAGGTGGAGGGGGGCAGGCTCCCAAATGCTGCGAAGGCAGAAGAAGCCACTCCAAGGAGGCATTTCATCTGAGTCTGCTGTGGGGGCGGCAGCCTGAGCTGAGCACGTGTCTGGGGCAGTCAGTGGTCCCCAGAGGCACTGGGGACACCAACTCCTGGCTCTTCCCGGGCTAGTCCTCGGAAGCAGGCTCG